TTTCAATTTCCTAGATCCCCCGAGGTTGTTAAAGTTAACTGTGGATATCAACACGAGGTCTCCTACTTTCAGGTCGCTGCTCTTATGCTGCTTGTCCCACCGATCTTTACTGTACTCTACCGCCTCCGCCACGCACTCGCTAGCTTTCTGTTCTGCTTTTATCATCATCTCTTGAAATCTAGAGGCTGACGGATGCACTTGAACTGTGTTGCTCAGCAACATGTCTTTTGGCATCTTAGGTATCCAACCTCGCTCTAGTTCAAACGGGCTTAGTCCTGTAGTGGAGTGCTTACTCGAGTTGTACGCGTATTCCAGTGCTGGTAACAGAGAAACCCAATCGTGAGTGTATCCCTCAGCGTCTGTGAATCTCATTCCGTACGCGCAGTATCGACGAATCATGTCTTCTAACGTCTGAATCATCCTTTCAGCTAAACCATCTGTCTGTGGATGGTATGCTGTTGAGAAGGCTAATTTCGTTCCTAGTATGTTAAATAAATTTTTCCAGAATTCAGAGGTGAACTTAGGGTCGCGATCACTGATGATAATTTGTGGGCACCCTACATCGCTTACAATCCCATTCCAAAACAACAGAGCTACCTCCATAGCTGTGTTGTCCTTATGACATGGGAGAAACCGTGATCTTCTGGAAAAACGATCGACGATGACTAGTACCGCATCAAAATTGTCTTTCCCAGCTGGTGGTAGAGCAGTTACAAAATCCATGTTAATCACTTCCCACCTGTTTTTGGGCTCTTCAATACGTTGGAGTAGCCCAAACCGCTTTCCTGTTGCCTTATTAGCCTTTTGACACCTATCACATGAATCACAATACTGTTCTACCTGTATCCTCCATCCTGGCCACCAGGCCAAAATTTTCACACGGTCAATGGTCCTTTCTTTAGAAAAGTGGGCAGCGCCAATGGAATCATGACACTCGTGTAACATGGTCTTCACATGGTCTTTGTCTATTAATACTAGGGCGCAAAAATTCTCAGATCTGTGGTATAACAACCCATCTAGTAGGATAAAGCGGCCTGCTTGAAAGTGTGACTTCCAAGGTTCATCTAACTGGGAGATAAGGTCTTGTCTCGGTGATTTGGATTTTAGGAGTTCTATAAGACTCAACGAATTTTTATTCGTACCGTAACTCGCTTCCACCGCATTCCAGAACTCTCCGGCTAGTCCACTGACTGATATGGCCATAATAGGTACTTCTCTTTCAGTATCCTCTTGATCTGAAGCCGGATTCGATTCGTTGTTAGGAAGAGCCCACCTAGACAATCCATCCGCATTCTTGTGAATGATACCGTCTCGATGAGTAATTGTCATGGCTCCGCGCCATTCCTGGATGGAAATCTGCCAACGTAACATATGACGGCTCGGAGTCTTCATGTTGAGGAGAGATTTCAACGCTATACAATCCGTAATGACCTCGAACTCACAGCCGTCGAGGTAGTAATAAAGTTTCTCCAGTGCCCAAACCAAACAAAGGCATTCAAGTTGAGAGGCACCATATTTCTTCTCGGACTCTTTGAGCTGACGTGAGATAAAGCAAATAGGACCTTCCCGAGGTATGTCTCCTATTATCTGTACTTGATGGAGTGCTGCTCCAATGCCTTCCATACAAGCGTCAACATACAGTTTGAAAGGTTTGGATGGGTCCGGATGAAACAACAGCGGTGCCGAAGTCAACGCGAGCTTAAGTTCTTCATATGCCTGAACTCTTTCCTTCGTCATTTCAAACCCCACTGCTGGACTACACAATTTGTAAAGACTTCCTGCAATGAGGTTGAAGTCTTGAATGTGTAGTCTGTAATAGCCCGCAAACCCTAAGAACGATTGCAGCTCTTTGACTGTAGAAGGTATAGGTTTCAAAAGGACAGCCGCCACTCGGTGCTGATCAATGCCCAATGAAAGTCCGTTAACCACATGCCCAAGCGCCTTCAGCTCTGAGAAGCCAAACGAGCATTTAGTTAAGGAAATTTTCATATTCATCGATGTAATCTTCTTGAGAACGCAACTCAATCGTTGAAGATGCTCCTCCCAACTCTCACTAAAAATAATTATATCATCTATATAAATGATGAGCCACAATTGGCTCAACTCTTCTCTGAACTCTGTATCCATCATTCGCTGAAAATGTGATGGGGCATTCTTAATACCAAAAGGCATGCGTACATATTCAAAAACACCCAGGTGACATATAATCCTAAGAAATTTTCTGCTATCCGGATGGACAACATTCTGGTGGAAGCCTTTCAGGACATCCATACAGGTGATAAATTTAGACTTATGCAACCTGGTTAATGATTCCATGATTTTGGGCATGGGGTATCTGTCAGGGGTCGTATAACTATTAAGTGCTCTAAAATCCCCAACTAACCTAGATTTACCGTTATGCCAAGCAATAATGACGGGTGTAGTAATATCTACATTCTCGTCAGCCCCCACTTTCCGGATGATACCCATTCGAGTAAGCAAATCAACGTGTTCTTCTAAAGCAGCCTTGCTTCTAGGGCTGGCAGGATAAGGAGCTTTACGGAGAATGGGAGGATAAGGTCTGTCAATTGTCAGTGTAACTTTAACTTCGTGGCCCCTGATAGCTCCGAATGGTTCGTGTGCAGTTGCAAAGGCTTTATGATGATTCCGTAGAGTACTCATGAGCTGTTGCTTCTTAGACAGGTCCATGTCTGAACCAATCTTAGCGTCACGAAGAACTTCATCCTCGAAGTCTTGGGGTTCTCCTTCCTCGGATGACACCAAATTAATGGCAGAGTCAAACTCAAATTTCTCACTGTTTATTGAAAAGAAACGACCTTCGTCGTTCAGAAGAGAAATCTTATAATGTGACAGGTAGTCATTCCCAATTATAAAGTAAGGGACCGCCATGTTTTCCATGACTACAAACTGGATCGTGAGCCTGTGAGAGTGAAAAACAAGTTGCACTTTAACTATGCCCAATGGTTTAAGTGATCCACTACAACTGTGAAAACGGCCGGGTTTGGTTGCCAGAACAAATTTAGGCCAGTCTGCACAAAATTGCGATAAGTATGACGCCCCCACAACTGACTTCACCGCGCCACTATCTAAAAGGACTGTGCAGTCCTGGTTGGAACAAGTCATCCTTACCAGATTATTGCGCCCTGTGGGAGCGAGAACTGCCATTTGACTATTAGATCCTATAACCAGGTCATTGTCGTTGTCTACTTCGCTCTCGCTTGAGAAATCTTCGCGAGTTTCACCTACGTTATTGACCTTAGAGGGACAGTTGCGAGACGTATGACCTGTTTTCTGGCAAGAGTAGCATTTGATGTCACCTGTCACGGGCGCCTTTTCTCGTCCTTCTATAACTTTAGAGGGGGTTTTTTCAATTGATTTTGGCGAAAATCTCTTGCGACCAAGCCTCGTTTTATCAACTATATCTTCTAGGACATTAATCAGGGTACTCATATCAGCTGTGGTTGATTGCATGGCGTTCTTAGTAGCATATTCTACCTCTCTATCCATCAATCCAAGCAAACGGAAGTTAATGGATTGTTGTGATAATTGAGGTTCAAAAGCTCGAAGCCTCCTGTACTGCCTGGTGACCCAGGATGACACTGGTGTTTCTCCAGGTATAAATCTGTCTTTCTCGAAGGACTCTTGTTTCTTACGCATCCAATTCGAGGTGCCATATTGTTTGCGGATTTCTTCTCTCCAGAAATCCCATTTCTCATCTTTATGATCTTTCCTCATAGTCTTATACCACTGACTCGCTACGCCTGTCAGGATAGAGAGCAACTTAACTTGAATATATTCGTCAGGAATGGATGTCTCGTCTCTACAGTCATCGATCCAGTCAATAAACTCTGTATGGTCATATTCACCTTGACCTGAAAACTTCGGCCAATCCAATTTATTGACTGCGGCCCAAAGTTGTTTTTGCATCTCACTTATCCCTACACTCTGTATGTTTATGGGCTGAGGGTTTCTAAAGTTATCACTATTGGTAGGCTGGATGCTGTAGTGGTTGTTCCTTCTTCGGAAATTGGAACCGGGCTGAGCTGCCTGTCCGCTGGATCGCACGGGAGAGGTATCCATTCTATCATTTATTTCGCCAATACTGGCTCTGACTTCTGCACCGTCGTCCCTGAATTGACTCAAGAGTTGATCTAATTTGGTACTGAGAGAAGAGAAGTCTCTGCGGTGCTCTTCGCTCAAGTCTCTTATCATCTGTTCTACCGAGCTCTTGGTAACACATGACTCGTTCTTGGATCTCACTGCTTCGGCAAGTTGTTTTATTTCATGAGAGATCCCAAATAACATCACATCATTGTGACTAGGATCTCTGTCAGGTAAAGTTGTTGTCTCTCTATTACCATTCTGTATTCTAGGATTGTCATTCCTCGTACTATGGACACACTCACCAGTTTTCTCCATACCATCAAGAGCGATGGCTTTAATTTCTTTACTTAAGGATTCAATTCTAGCGCTCAATTCTTGCACAACCTGTACTAATTTCTTATCTTTCACGTCCACTATAGCAGATAGTTCCTTTTTGTACGACTCGAGCCTAGTCGTGACCTCGCTAGTCAACAATGTGCAACATTCCACTATATCTTCTTTAATCGTAAGTTTGTTAAACTCACAGTCGCAACTGATTCCTGTATTCTTGTCAGTATTCATGGTTTGCATTGAACGAACGGTTTGCAAAAGTTCAGAAAGTAGGCTATGACTTGATTGAGATTGAAGCGACAGAGAATTACAAGTATTAGCAATGTTGGTAATAGAAAATTTAACTGATTTGAAATGATTGTCTGTCTTATCCACTGTTTGCTGGATAGAATTAGAGAGAGGAGTAGTTATATCGCGCCGACAAGAGACTGAAAATGTAGATAGTTGATCTGTGATAAAGGATCTCAGAGTATCAAGGATGATAACACCATTGCCATCAACAATGTGTTCTATCTGATTGAAGAGGAGTGAAAAGACTTTCTTCGCATCTCTAAGAGTAAAGGGGCTCAGTTCCTTCCTCGGTTGATTCTGGAGGCTTCGTCCAGATGTTGATAGGTCCCTTGGAGGGTTCTGTACATTCGGATCATTTCCGAGTACACTTCTCGGCGATGATTTGGTCGTCCCCCCATCCTTCCTTGTCTCCGAGGATGATTGCCCTGATTCCTCTGGGCTGGACCTTGCTCGTTCAAACCTCTCGCTGGTTGAGCTGCTGCTGCTCTGTGGTACGGTTGCTGTCGGCCCGGTTGTTGGGGTCGAACTGGTCTCGTGGGGTTGACTAAGAACGGATTCCAACCGTCCATCAAAAATAGGAGAGTATCTCTGCCTATCAACTCTTCCAGGCTTCGGTGGGACGCTAAGGCTTGCCTTCGAAGGGTTTCCATCGCTACCAGATTGCTCGCTGCCGCGGCGTGGAGATAATGATTCTTGGCCGCTTCGTGCATCTCGAACAGGAGGGTTATCTCCGCTGGCCAGTTTCGGCGTAGGAGTCTTGCTCTTTCCGCGTTTGAACTCCCCGGCTGGGACGAGCGTTGGGTTTGAGGCTCTAGTGGAGGAGGCCCGTGAGGTAGGGTTAGATTTACTCGTAGGGTACGGCATTCTAAGGATTTATTTATTCACTAACCAGTAAGAATAATAATATCAGAAGATCCGTCTTCGTTATCGGTCGGTATATGAACTTCTTCAGGTACTGCGCTTCTGTTTGTATTGATAGCTTCAGTCAATCCTGTATTCCTGGTCAGGTATTGTTCTATAATCACTGACGTAGCTCTAGAATCTAAATCAGGATCGATAAGGCTTCTAGGGCTATGGCTGAGATTGGGATCTATGGTCGGAGACAGTAGAGGAGACTGTATTGCTTCTATTCTGTCAGTGTCTACTCTAGGGGGAGCGGTGTGCCCTCTTGGTTGAAAGAGATTCCGGAAAAGAGCCTCTACGCTACTATGATTTCCTGAAGTCGAACTCGCTGCTTCCAAACTGTTTTCTCTGGCCTGAGTAACCTGGTTAGAATCCGTAGGTTGGTTGGTTCTTTCTCCTGGTTCTGATCGAGAAGAATGGACTATCGTAGTCGGACGGTCTGATTGGAAGAAGTCTCTTAAGGATGCTTGTCTAGATGACACTGATGAGAGAGCAAAAAATACCGCTGATCAGTGCTAGTCCAACGATTCTAGTCAATAGAATTTGGAATAGATCAAATCAAGTAGCGTAACTCACTAGTCGTCTTCGGTTGAAGAAGAAGAAGATTATTTGATAGTTCAACAAACAACGATAGTTCGAGAATTTGGGAGGAAGATAACGGCGTTACTCTTCGTCTGTCAGATCAACGATCCTGGAACAGTATACAGCAATGTCAACCGACCAGAGCTCAGTCTCAGATAGAAGGAGAAAAAGAAAGAGAAAAAAAAAAAAAAAAAAAGCAACAAGGTATCGGGTATAGAATATTTCCCGATGAGGCCCCCAAATGTCAGGAGTAGTCTCTTATGTGACTCACTACTGAATGAAACCTTTGGTATTGAGACTGACTATCAGAAGTTGCTGGAGACTAAGAAAGGGAAGTTTGTTGATAGTCGGGTTGAATATAAGTAAAATAGAGAAGAGGGAGAAGAATAGCAAAGGAATAAGAGAAAGGTGTCGGTTAATAACCCCAATCACAATGTATATTGTAATAGAGCGGGTTTGGTAAAATCTGAGAGAGGACTCCCTCTTTCCTAGGACTATTCTCTCTTTATATGGTATCTATCTGTACATGGGTCTTAACACCCGCTTTTGGAATGCTTTCCGAAATGGTATTAGATTTATTCTGTTATGGTAAGACTTTTCTCTAATCGTGATAGCCTAATGGCACATTGAGATCACTTCTCAATGTGCTCAAGGCTGACAGGTTGCATATTACAAGTATGGTGAAATGCTTCAAATTGAAGGAAATGATATTGCTTTGTCTCATCTGCTGAGTGAAAATTACTTAACAGGAATGAGCAACATCAAAAAGGAATCTCATTATGAGCAGAATGCAGGAGAATATGCCTCTACCACTTATGAAAAAGACCACGGATATGTAATATTCCCCAGGTACCCATCAAAAGGAAGTGACTTCAAGGCCAGTGATAATCAAAGTAACATTAACATACTTTATCAAAGTAAACAATTAGAAGATCCGACTTCTTGGTATCAATTCCATCTTGATCAAAAGACTATAGAAAATAAGCTTGATCATTATGCAAATAAACAATTGATTGATATTCCTTCTGAAGGAAAATCTGAAAAAACACTTCAAGTTCTAAAAATGAAACCTATTTCTTCCACAGAACCTTCAACCATTTCTTCTTTCCTCATTAAACTAAGTCAAGATATAGTCTACATCTGTCATAACATTCAAAATTTCCCAAGTGGAACTCCAAAGCAAAAGACAGATTCCTTGAAGAATGTTCTGGTGGACCCATTTGCAATGATTTATTCAACAGAAAAAAATGTTGCAAAGTAGATCAAAGCCTTTCATAATGATGAAGTTTTGTTTTTGGAATGAAAAAAAAAAATTGAAAATTCTTTCATGATGAAGAATCCCCCAAAGAATGAGTTTATAGAATGCATCAGTCACTTATTGCTCTTTGTCATCTGGTTTTTATTTTTTTACTGCTTTTTGAGCTTCCTCATTCTTGGGTTCTCTCTTGGGTCCACTTTTGTTTTCTTGGTCTCTCTTGGGATCTCTCATTCTTGGGTTTTCTGTTTCTTGGGTTTCCCATCTCTTCTTCTCTTGATCCTTAGGTTTTATTACCTGGTTTCTGATCTTTCTATTGGGTTTGTTCTTCAAATTGATTCATGTTCTGGTGACTAAATTCCTCTCTTTCTTTGGTATGCATGCTTGTGTGAATCTGTGTGATTGTGCGGATAGGTGTCTCATATCTGACTGCCTGGCTCTGTGTCATGGGTACTTCTTCCTGTGACTCTCAGATTGGTGAGACCATTACATGATACATATAGCCAAGATCCTCTTGATTCTTTAGAAAAAAGTCGAAAGAATTCATGCAGAGTTACCAATTGGCAAATTAAATTGCACCTTTTAAATGATTCTGTGTACCTGGAGAAATTCTTGAGATTGTTCATACTCACTTGCTAGATTGACATGTTTGTGAGAGAAGCTTTGTGGGATCACTGAATCAGAGGTTGTATCATAATTTTATGATTGTTAATTCAGACTGAGTCATCCCCTGGTGACGTGTTGATAATCATGAGATGATCGAGAGAAGATATTTATCTGGTCTGCGGCGTGTTATATGTGCTGGCAGTCGAGTGCTGGTCAGTATTTCGTCATGGGATGGTGACCCAGTCCCCCCGGGCCCTCCTCTGGGGAGGTTCCAGCCAGACAGTCCATGACCATTGGCCATGTTGCTGGTGTACATCGCTTGTTTACCACTTTCCACTTTGCCTCGTCGACTCTTTTCCCAGCCCATCCCATCTCGCTTCCCTCGCCATACAAGCACTGAAACAGCTACTCAAGCAGACTACCACCACCACGTCATCCTCTAGTGCCTCCCCTCCTTCCTTACCCTATCAAACCCTCACCGATCAACATCAGTCATGCGCTACACCAGTCTCCCTCGGACTGCAACTTTTGCTTGGTCGCCCGATCCATTTCTCCCTGCTTCCCAGAACCCATCGTCATCTGCTTCCGCCAATACTCACTCAGAGCATCAAGCCGAGCTAGACCAATTCAACTCCCCCCTCCTTGCCACCGGTACCGCAAGTGGCGTACTCGATTCTAGCTTCAGCACAGACTCCAAGCTCGAGATATGGTCTCCATTCACTAGCGACTCGGCCGAGGCCAAAGGCACCGTCACCCTCCAATCTAGGTCAGTAAACTCAATCCCATGCGGTGATTCTTTCGTTCTATCATCTCACATTTACTCATCTTCCATTCATTCCAACAAATCATAAACTTGAACAGGTTCCACCGTCTAGCATGGGGTCATGCCGCTGGCCTTCGACCACGAGGTGTGATTGCAGCCGGTATGGAAAACGCTGAATTGGACATCTGGGATCCGATCGAAATCCTAGCGGGTCAGGGGTACGCCCTCTTCTCATTTCTGATCTTTTTAGTGCTCGATCACTAATTTGGTTTCCTTTTTTTTGAACTCGATCATTCACCAAATGCGTATTCACAAGCCCTGAAAAAGCGTTGGTAAGCAAAATGAAAAATCACAACGGTCCCATCAAGGGTCTTGACTTCAATCCGGTCAAAAACAACCTGCTGGCTTCGGGTGCTAGCAAAGGAGAAGTACGTGAAAAACTCTGCAGGACTATTGTCTTCCCGATTCAATCGATTGGTCCATGTCATTAACCCCGACAACCTTCGTCAAATCCAAACAGGTCTTCATCTGGGATTTGAATAATCCAGTCAAGCCATTTGCTCCCCCCTCCTCGCGTTCATTGGACGATGTTTCTTCGGTAAACTGGAATCATATCGTACAATCAGTCCTCGCCGCCTCATCCAATAACGGCTACACTGTGGTTTGGGACATCCGTGAAGCTAACGGTCAAAAAGGCAGGGAAGTCGCCACATTGAGCTACAGTGGTTCTGTGAACCAAATGCCTGCTTATGGACAACCCCAGCCTGGTATGATGGGGGGCCCGCAATACGGCTCTCAATGGATGGGCCCTGCCGGTGGACGACCCGGTAGTGTGAGCTCAGTTGTATGGCACCCCGAAAATGTAAGCTTGAGTCACCCAAAAACACCATTCAAGATTTGCCCGATCTCATTGATACCCGTTGTATGTCTAAGCCCACCAAATTGGTTACCGCTTCTGATGACGACGCATCTCCTATCGTTCTGGTTTGGGACCTGCGAAACGCTCGAGCGCCTGAAAGAATCCTAGCTGGCCACGAAAAAGGAATTCTCAGTCTAGCGTGGTGCAAGCAGGATTCAGATCTATTGGTCAGTTGCGGCAAGGACTGCCGAACGATTTGCTGGAACCCTACGAGCGGTGAAATAGTCGCGGAAGTATGTGATTTTACTTCTCTAAATTTTGGTCTATGAGGTTGTTTGTGACTGAGCATTGCACTTCTGCACAGCTTCCTCCCAGCAGCAATTGGTCTTTCCAAAGCGATTGGTGTCCAAGGAATCCTGACTTGATAGCCACTGCATCCTTCGACGGCAGGATAGCGATCAACTCTCTGCAATCAACTGGCGAAGAGTCTGAAACCGTTGAACCCCCGTCGACTTCGGGCCCAGCAGTCGATGGCAGTGATATCTTTGGTGATCAAGGCTTACTTGCGCTGAACAGCGCCAAAGCAGCCGTAAGCTGCAAGCAAGCGCCGAAGTGGTATAAACGTCCATCCGCTGCTACCTTCGCATTTGGTGGTAAAGTGGTCACAATCGATAACCCGAGCCCTCCGAATCCAACCCAGCAAGCTCCTGGTGACAATACCTCGATCAAGACTTCACCAGTCGTAAAAATCAGACAAGTTGTCACGGAGCCCACGTTGGTTGAACGTGCCTTGAAACTAGAGAATGCAAGTCAAGCTCGCAACTTACAAACTCTTTGTGAAGAGCGGGCTAACCGCCTCCCCTCACACGCTTCAACAATCGAATTACAAAGTTGGAAGCTGCTCTCGACGTTGTTCAAGTCAGATTCGTCCGAGGAACTTGTTAACCTGCTAGGATTTTCGAAAAGCGAAGTGAAATCTATGGTCGAGCGGCAAATTGAATCATACAAACCGTCCAAAGTCTCAAATTCACTCTCAAGGACCGCCAGTGAGATGGGACCAACCTCCACCGCCCTCGAGACTAGTCCTTCGGACAATGACTCTATTCCTCGTGAGCCGTTGGTCACTTTTGCGGAGACCCCTCGTGAGGGATTGTCTGCTTCCTCCGAAGGTGGCGGGGAAGCTACAGTCAGTTCAGCAGATGCTGCACCATCTGAAGCTAGCGTAAGCGCCATCTCAGACGGGACCAAGCTGGCCGAAGCCGAATCGGAGATTACGGAACCAAGCTTGTTTGGTGACGACAACGCAAACGCCGCCGGACAAACTGCTGCCTCCGTAGACTTCTACAACTCCATGCGTACTAACCGCCCTGCTGGATTGCCAGATCACGTGTTTAGCAGAGTTAGCGCCGCTGCTTCCTCAGTTGGTGCCACCATCGGATCGCAAACTTCATCGGTTGCATCGGAAATCACTCGGAGTAACACCTTTCAAATATATCCTTCCGAAGAATCCAAAGGAGACCGACTTATCACGCGGGCCCTCGTTGTTGGCGACTTTGAGAGTGCCGTCTCCTTATGTATATCGAGCGAGCGCTGGGCTGATGCTCTCCTCTTAGGTGTCAGAGGTGGGCCCGAGCTACTCCAAAAAGCTCAAAAAGCTTACTTTGGAAAACAAACAGTCAATCACCCATACCTCCGACTCTACCAATCGATCGTCTTGGACGACTTGATGGATGTTGTGCAGAACGCAGACCTCTCCGAGTGGCAAGAAATATTTGTGGTTCTCTGTACTTTTGCGAAAAAGGAAGAATTCTCCAATTTGGTCGAGCAGCTGGGCCAAAGGCTTGAATATATGTCACACCCATCCACTCCTACCGAAAGCCCCGGTCAACAGCCAAGTTCGGTCTCTACCGCCGAGTTTCGAAAAAACGCCATTCTTTGTTATCTTGCAGCTGGCAAATTAGAGAAGGTTACTTCTATTTGGATTGAGCAGATGGAAGAAGAAGAGGCGGCGTTACTGAAGAACGTGGACGCAGACGACCAACAATCTGCATTCAGTATCCACGCTGATGTGCTCCAGACTCTCATCGAAAAGGTGACCGTATTCCAAAGTGCCATCAATTATGTTGATCTCGACCTAGCCCAGACCAACGAATCAGTCGGTGCCACCAAGACTGATGCAAAGGAATACAAACTGGCGATGCTGTATGACTGTTATTACGAATATGCGGAATTGTTAGCTTCCCAGGGGCTTTCCAACACCGCTTTGCGTTTTGTTGCCCAAACCCCCTTAGGATATACTCCGTCTCGTACCTCACCTTCATCCTCCGCTCGAGAAAGGCTTTCGAAATCGGTTGGATTGACATCACTTGTAGCAGATCGACAGTTCCCCGCTGAGCAAAGGACGCCCACCAGCGCCACCGCCGTTCCACCTTTGGACAAACCATTTGCTGAAGTGCCCTCGACCCAAAACGCCTACCAAAACTCTTACAACCCTTCCAATAATCTATCGGCCTACTCAAACACGGCTTACCAACCATCTTCTATGGGCGCACCTGGTGGAAACATTGATGGCAACTACTCCAATCCGTATGGCTCGTCTTATAATCAGATGCCAATGGGTCAAAATAACTATGCCCCCATGTCAACTGGCTCGTTTTTACCCCCTCCTCCAGCACCAATCGGCACCTCGCCGATTCCCAGTAGAGCTCCTAGTGTCTCGCAGCTTCCACCCGCCGCTCGACAGCCCCCCAGTCAAGTGGGAGGTTGGAACGATGCACCAGTTGTCAATAACACCCGGAAGAATGTTCCGCCGCCTGGTGGACCGAAGGCGGTGATCAGCTCACCTTTTCCGAATGCTTCTCAAACCATGTCACCCGCACAACCGTATCCTAACCAATTTGGTGGCTATGGTGCACCTCAAACCGGTTATCAGCAAGGATCACCAGGTGGACCACCACCCCCTCCACGTGGCGGCTCTCGCACCCCAGGGAACGCTGCTAATGTGGTCCCGCCACCACCCAAGTTCGGACAACATCCTCCCGGTGGAGTTCCGCAAACTCCTCAGCAGTATGGCCAACCTGGTCAGTATAATGCTCGGTCAAATTCACATGATCAACATCCTTCTAACTTTGCTCCCTATGGACCTCAAGGGGGTAATGTAGCTCCTCAATCCGGTCATCCAGGACCTTACGGACCCCCGAAGGCACAGCACCCAGGAGCAGGCCCACCTGCTCAACCAAGACAAGTAAATTTCTCAACTCCGACTCAGCAAGCTAGTTATCAGGCACAACCTGTGATGCAAAGTCCGATGCAACAGCAAACTCCGTACGGTTCCGGTCCACCTCCCCAGATGTACCCCCAACAACGAGGATCTTTATCTGGTGCACAGGCCGCCGGACAGTATGGTATCCCGCCTGCCGGCCAGGGTATGCCACCAAGCGGACAAAATATGCCCCCAGGTCAGGGTCCCCCACAGTCGCAACGTCCCGGTACCGCTCCACCAGTGCCCAAACCTGAGCCACCCAAGTCCAAGTACCGTTAGTATTCTGATTTCACATTTACAATCACCAAGTTCAGTTTGAAAGCTCACTCAGATCACGACTCTATTGTTTGAATTAGCACCGGGTGATCGTAGCCATATCCCAGAAGCGAGTAAACCGATTTACGTTAGCCTACAACGATTAATGAATCAAATGAAACAAGGTCTACCTGTGAGTCATCATAGTCCAGTTTTCTCCAAAAATTAAAAGCTGAAAGCTGTCAGGTTCTGATCGTGATTTTTATATATAACTTCCAATCTAATGATTGATCAGGCAAATCAAAAGAAATTGGTAGATGATACCGAGCGTAGATTGAATGTGCTATTTGATGCTTTGAATTGTGAGACGGTTCCTGCGAGCGTGATCGACGAATTAACGGATATTGTCAAAGGTCTGTTCTTCCTTTTTCCATACAAAACAAACCGATCCTGATTTACTGATTTATTTGATGCCTACTTCCCTTCTCAACCTGTTCCAAAAAAAAAAAAACGTGGGGATGAATAGCCATCGAAGCTAGAAACCTCCAATTGGCTTTGCAATTACATGTGTCTCTCTTAACGTCTGGTATTAAATCTGACCAATTGACTACTTACATGCCTGCCATCAAAATGTTGATAACCAAATTACAATGAAACCTCAACAACAATCACGAACTTTTTTCATTCCATTTTTTTCTGACATGTCTTGCTGTTCCTGTTTCCCTTTTTTGTGTGTGTGTGCGATTGGTTTGAAGTGTTTTGTTCTCCATCCCTCGTTGTCTCTTTTTCTTTTCTTTCTCAGATTGGTTCAATACAACACATATTATACTATAAATATAAATACAAATAGATGGCTGATTGGTGATGTTGATATTGATGTGAATTGAAACTGATTCGATTGGATGGCTGTTGAGATCTCTTTATTTCTACAATGCATATATTTCTCTGAATCTTGGTCTCACTCTCAGTTTTCTTTGTTCTGCTTTATTCTTGTCTGATGCTTCGGTTTGACTTGGAAAAATCAAGCTAGATTGGAGACAAGGTGCAAGGAAGGGAACCTTACTCTTTGTCTATCATCTGAGTGTATGCCGAGTCAGCACGACCGATGTCTCTAGCAAAGGAAACAATTGCTCGTGGTCTTGAAGACTTTTTGATCTAGGTTACTTGAGGATTGAGAAGTAGGTGCTTCAAAAGACACATATTGATTGGACTGCGCGTGCATGATAATGACATCCATGCATTGAGATACCATTTACAAAAGTCAAGGACCAAGGTGATTTTTTAGAATATGATTCCTCGCCTTGACTCATTGTTCTGCTGGCTTGAGGAAACGATAGTGTTTGCCCGCTTTTGATTATCCAGGGGGAAGAATGCAACAAGGCCTGTACCATAGCATCCCAGCCAATTTTTAATTTTCATTTTTGATCTTTCTATTTTTTGCCAACCAAAATTCATTTTGGGATTAGAACTAAAAATCTGGCTTCTGTACTGTGGGAATTTGGGTGTGCATGGTACGCTATTTCCGGTGGGGTCAAATCCCAGCTTGAAAATTGGACATTGTCCTTAAAATTGGGGCTGTGGCAAACGCCCCTACTGATGTAATTAATATAGAACGCCGGTTTGGCCGCGCGGAGAAAAGGCTAACTTAACCAAGTCGCTCGCAAGCGGGCTAGACAAGTTACCGAAAACGGGGTCTACTTGAGTGGCACCTTTAATATGTTACGACATTTTGATTAATAATACAGCAACACAACAAATTGCGGCCTACTGTGGCAATTTGATCAGCGGATCTCACTTGGTTCGAAGAAATTGAATAATGGCGTTGGAAAAAGAATGACATTTAAAGACATGATGCTGTGATCCAAGCAAACAAGTAAAGACAAGAACTTGAAGGGAGGTAAGAAAAAAGTACAGTGAAGAGGAAAAACAAATCCCAAATGAAGTCGAAAGGGTAATGTTACTCAAAATAGGTGGAGTAAAAAGTAAGGTAGAAGTTGGATTGAAAAGTCCCTTAAGAGTTGACAACCTGTGCAGAGTGTTCCACGATGTTGCCCTTGTCATCGACTCCATAAGTTACTTTTCGAAGTTGGCCGTCGATGTTTTTGTTATTGACGAATCCGAAGTCAGGGATAGCTTCTTTGCCTGAAAGTAGGTTGAGGGGTGCACTGAGTAGACCGTTAGTTTGGGCTCTACTGATGCTTCCTAATGGCTGCATAGCAGCCATCGCTGCCTTCTCGACTCGCGGCGAGTCGAATGTTTGTGGGGCCGGCTCTGCATCACGAGTTTGAGTGGGAGTTGGAGTGGCCGGTTTCGGTTTCTTCGCTTTGACAGCAGTAGTGGGTGCTACCAACTTCGGACTCGAATTATCTTCAACCCGCGACTCGGAGGATGCAAACTGTGAGGGCATTGCTTGCGATCCCGATCCTTCGTCCGCCATGGATGCGCGTGGCAATGGGATGTCAGACATGAGGTATGGTTTGAAGGCGGAAAGGAAATCCGGGGGCATGTCATCTGTCACAATAGAGCGGCTGGTTTGGTATACAGGATACTCCTCGGTAAAAGCTTCATTCTGAAAAGAAAAAGAATCAAAGAATTAACATCGAACGCGGACTGGCCCTCTCTGAGTCAATGCTAGAAACCCAACTAACGGTCGCAGGGTATTGATAGTACTCTTCATCTACCGGAAAGCTTTGCTCCGCTTGCCTAACGTATTCGCTGATGTATCATTACCCAACAAAAAGTTTTTTTATCTGAGTCAGTGAAACTTCGAGTACCAAGGGTCTATATGTCAGCTTACGAGACATGGTGTCGGGTGGTCTTCGCAATCGCGCGAGTTTCAATAACGCTGAAAAAACCTAATGTTGAGCAGAATTATTGTAAGTGGGTATTTCTCGGTCTGACGAGGTCATACTGATGGCTCACCAAGTAGCAACACTACGCTAAGATACGACAAGTTAAGAGGCATGTTAACTGTGAGGTGTGAAGAAGTTGTCTGTTCAGATGGAGTCTTAGTTCAAGAGGCGATGTTGTTGCTTGTGAGGTTGTTTGTAGATCGTTTTGTTCAGAAGGGTGCTTGGTGGGGAAATGTATAGGAAGTCAAACTGTTCGATAGTTTGATGGGGGAGAATGGTAGCAGAAATGCTCCAGCTTTTGTAGCTGTAAGCTAAGCTATGAACCATTGCTACGACGGCAAAAATTGGGCTGTCAGCCTTGAACTGGGTCAATTCGTAAACGCCTGCTTCGGTTCAATCTGATACTCCATCAAATCAACTTATTCATCAGTGATCCCTAGTCCAGCCTAATCGGCCGGCTGGTCAACCTGCTTGTCGCAAGGTGTTGGAGCGCATGTCTCATGAAAAATAAACCCGAGCTTTGTGGGAGTGTTCTCAATTTCGGAAGGCACCATGGCATTGGTGATCACGTTTGGCCTGGGCCCTGATCCAGTAAACTACTTGGAACATCGGCCGCCTATAGACGGATTCCTCGTGCGCCCTATGTGGCTAAACCGGGGTGAAAACCTGCTGCCAATTTTTGATGCATTGGACTAACTAAGCAGCCCCAAAAATTTGCAAGCAAAGCATAGCAAAATGTGTGCGTGTGTGGTACTTATTAATTTAAATTTCATGTTTAAGGAAGAATCCTCAGGTTTTTGTAACGGTCAGTCAAATTTTTAATAGTGTAACAAAAAATGTTATTGAAGAACACTTTGACGGTCCTGTTAAGGCCTATCCTGCGTTGGTCTAAATTTTTGTTCCAAAACTCTGGGTGGTGATTTTTCATCCATAATTCTAAAAACATCCAAAGGATACGTTGTTGGCCTTCCTTCTCTCCTAGATCGTTTTTCTGATGGAATGTGATCTCATCCGCTGTCTCGGATGAAGTAAGAGGCGCAAACTTCAAATGAATCATCGATTTTAGAAACGATTCGCATGCTGTTTCTAGCTCTGCATTGTACTCCAATTGCGTGGGCTCTTCTTGTCTGAAAATGGTTGAATTGATCATTTCAACATAAAATAAAAAAATCGGGAAAACTTGGGCGAAGTTGGTCTCTTTAATCTTCTGGAGGTAAAAAGTAAAATCCCTGTTTGTTTGGACCATGAAATATATGAGCCAGATATCTTGATTTTCATTGAATTCCCTTTTTCTTTCTTTCAAGAAAGCATATCTTTCAGCATCTCTTATCTTCTTATCTTTTCTTTCGCGAACCTCTGGAGGAGTTTTGACTTCTGTTAGTGAAGCTTTTTGTTCTGTAGGAGTTTTGAGTTCTGTTGGTAAAGCATTTTGTTCTGGAGGAGTTTTGAGTTCTGTTGGTGAAGCGTTTTGTTTGGTTGGAGAAAAGACGTTGATGAAATTCTTCAATCTCTTTGGCGGGACAACCATTTGCCCCCCAGGCAGTTCTTTGATCATTTGTAATAATTTATCCAAATTGTGCGTGTTACCCTCTAGATCCTGGACATGATCGAAAAGCTTTATATCGAACGTGATTCTTGGCACGTAAATTGATTGAGCCACATTAGTAGTAGTAGTAGCCTCTGGATAGTAACCTTTAGAACGAAACGAGCTTGTGAGAAATCCGCTTTGAATCTTTGCAAAGACGGCGTCTAGGACGGCAGCATTCAATCCGAATTCTCTGAATGAACCTTGTCCGACCCGGGTCAGCCTCCTATTTGCTTTTGGTTGCTTAGAAGAACTTCGTGGAGCTATCCACGTGTCTGTTTCAGTACCTTCGTGGTGCGTGTTTTTCAATCGATTGGAAGGGGAAAGCTGAAGCCTTGGACGTTTCGCGGTAGGATTTTCGCTTGGCACCGAATTCGAAGCGCTAGAAAATTGAGTTGTTTCCGAAGCATGCTTGGCAGCCGACTCGTCGCCTTCCCCTGTGTTCCTCATCGTATGTAGATTTGCGTCGAGTATCTGGTTTTTCCAGTAGACTCGAGCAAATGCCAACAGGGCGTCTAGCACCCCTTCCGTTGAGCCTGAGGCTTCGGGAAAATCGAAGTGGGAGTCCGGGGAAGCGTGAAATCCATTACTGTTCATCTCTGGGATATTTGATTTGTGTGAAAATCGATTGTGATCTTTCGGATAAAGGTATTCATCAAAGGCGTCAACACCGTTGGCATCAGACGATCTGAGGACAGTGGAATCCCAGTTCCATTCCTGCCCAAGCCAACCATGAGGGTGCCACTCTTCCATGGCATTAATGGTAAAGATGGCTGGGAAGCCAAAGAGTAAGCTGCACGTTCCCAAATTCATGCTTGATGGACTTTCGAATACTGTTTTATGATAGATTGATGCCCGCTTTTCGAGCTGGTCAGACCAGCAGACAATTAGGCAAAGGAAGTGGAAAATGAGCCTCACGATACGATTCGATAATAATAATTGAGCAGCAGAAACGAGCACAATTCACCCTTTCGACTTGAGCTTTCGTCGATAGAAATAGTCAAATGGATCCGAAACACTGATTTTGCAACTCTGCAGAAGTAGGGATACTCGGAATCATATCCTCAAATTCCCTCACGTGCCCGTAAGGGTTTTATGGAATTACAAAGGTGCAAACAGGGTGCGCTGTCTTGGATGAAACAATTATAGACTACTTTTGCTGTCTTTTAGAATGCTTTTTACAGCAGCTGATCTCCTTGAGGAATACGCTTATTTTCTTTTTGGGAGATGATGCCAGAAAACAAAATTGGCGTGACGCCAGGGGCCCTGGTCTTGGAAGCTACTCCTGTTACAGTACGTGATTTATCCTAGCGGCGAAAAACTCAACAAGCTGGAAGCCATTCAATTTCATTGCTACCATCAACACAAATCCAACCCGTTACCTACCTGGCAAGGTCAAGTGTAGCAAGAAAAAGGATTGTTCGGCGGAACGAGAAAGATTCGTGAGGTAAAGAAAGATAAGTATATCTCTTAAGATCCTAAGTGATCCCGGTGCAACATATCGATAATCAGCTTCTGCATGCTAATCTTTTGACCTACTCCTCAAATAACAAGTTAGTAAGCCTTTCAACTTGTGCCAAGGCTTAGCGTACATAAACACATACTCCAATATGTGTTTCCCCACAAATAACGTCGGAAGTTGTGACCCCCAACACGTATGAAGAACTGGACAGAAGGAAATTGTTAAGACAACATTATGTATGTACCTGACGCATAGCCGGCTGCCCTTCAGCTCGCCACTTCTGGAGCCGATGTAGGTAAGAAGTCTGGGGTCAACAAGGGGTCGTCTTATGACGCTGTCAGAGGTTTAGGGCTGACAAGGGATCGGATGATGACGCAGTGGCTCGAGGATGTGATGCCTGGTAGCGCTCGCTACCGAGGGGTTGTTTCAGTCCACCAAACTTTTTCTGACGAGGACTGCCGAAACGTAGATTGCTCCGATAGAAAATGCGCAATTCGGCAAAGTCTGGGCCTTGTTCACAACATATACCTAAGCTTGTGTGGGGTATTGTTACGAGCCGCATTTGCCTACTCCTAGCCAGTAAAGCTCAGCAGTTAAGCAGGACATTTTGTTTGGTATTTCACCTTCCTTGTGTATGTAGACTACGTAAACTCGTTCCGGTGGAGGCAGCGGATCGATGCCCAGCAAAAGTAAATGTACCTATTGGCAGCCCGCTGGAACTGCAGAACTTGAATGTTTTGTTGTAAAGGAATGCGGAGCTTGACGCTTGCAAGAAACCAGATATTGGGTATTGCCAAGGCTTGATTATCACTGATCAGTATTGACCTTGACACAAGTCACACCTTCCTGAGGGTCCGACTGCCGGCCGACCCACAAGAAGAGGTGCTTCTGCTGCCAGTGTGTGAGGGCCCGCCTACTACTTCTCTTTCTTAAGTGACTATAAGTTTACTCAAGAGAGTAAACCGTCTATATTACAGAAGAGTAGGGGTAGTTTATCCTTTAAAAGAAAGATAAACTTCTTGAAGGGGATTTATAAGAAAAGGATTTTTATAAGACTTTGATTATTGACTCGATGTAAATGCTAATAATAAAACAAAGAAATTGCGATGAGGAAAGGAAAGGGAAGAACAAATAAAACTACACCAATATATATATGAAAACAACCCGAATCATGAACAATTAAAAACAACCACTAACAATAATGAAACTAAGTAAAGATAGAGAATTCAAATAACAACTGGCTTATATAACAAATGAGAATGTAAGATAATTTACCGATATCTTTTGGTATTTATGTAACAATTAAAGAAAAATAGTTAACGAAACTCAGAAACGTTACACAGTGCTCCGTATCCTTGCGTGAATTTTGATGGCAATCATCCTTATGCCAGTGAAGATTTTTGCACCCCCGGACACTCCCAGGAATCAATACCCTTAGTTTCAATGCTAACACGCTCTGTTCACCATTAATCATGATCATTAGTAATCCGTTCATCATCATTTGTATTGCTAATGACTGTGAAGCGAGATTTCTTAATTACAACATATCTAGCATGTCTTGGTATATTATTTTTGCTTGATTGCCTCTGATATGCTAAGCAAATGATCTCTTGCCTATAGCTATCTCAAGTCTAAAACTCACATTGCTAAAAAAATCCAAATCAAGATTTCCACTTTTTATCAACTTTTGGAACATACAAATAGATCAGGAGCTTTGTTATGAGGAAATCCTGCGTCAATTTCTCCCTAACAGTTTGTCTAGGATTTTTCACACCTTCTATCCCTGCCGCTTCAGTGCTTAAAAGCTGAGTTAACTTGACCCATTGCATCTTAAATTTTACAAACATGTATTTTCCTAGGTGGAGACACCACCCCCCTTTGGAAAACAAATTTGAATTTATTTTCTCAAATATGCAAGAAAGAAGTTTTCTCTATATGGGAGGACAAGAGGTGGAGTCCCTTCTCCATCAGTAGTAATGAAAGAGCAAAAATTAGATGAGGAGGAAAGAATCCACCTCTCTGATTCTCTTGGAAAAATCCTTAGATAGAAGAATGGTAATTTTTGGTTTTCTTCTTTCCTTCAAAGATGATTTTTCATTGAAATATTTTACCCAAATATAGTATTAAAAGGTTTAACCTTAAACCACAAACCTCCCCAAAAACCAAGGTATTACAACTTGTGAT